ACACACCCTCAACAAATAATATAAATTTAAAAACACACACTACAGGATAAACATTAAAGAATTAAGCAAAAAAAAATAAAATTTTATATAACTAAATAAACATCGAAATAATTTTTATATAGTTATAAATTGTATGTTAAAAAAATAATTAAATTGTACAGACAATTTATAACAAAGTAAAAAATAGAATAAATTGGAGAAAGAAAAAAAAAGGACCTTATTAAATTTCCTATAAATTATTTTTTTTGAGTTAAAAGGAAGAAAATCTATTTAAAAATTTCAATAAAATAATTATACGTTATGGATTTACATTTTTTAAAAATTAAAACACAATAAAATAATTATTGATAGCGATCTTTAAAACATTTTATCAGATAGAAAATTGAAAGTTGTTAAAGAAGAAGCAAACATACGTTTATAAATGGCTCTATTCTTTTTATTATTAATTACTTTTAATTATAATTGTCATTGTTTATTATAAAACAATATGTTTAAAATATATAGGCTATATATATTAGTTTACAGTTGATTAATTCTTTTTAAAAAGTGCTGTTTAACTGTACTTAACATTCATGCTTGTACTCATAAGAAAAATATATGAAGACTTGTTAGAATAGAGGAAGGACCTCACATATTTTTCTTTATTGGAAAGGAGCCCTGTTTATTTACAAATGTAGGGCCTCATCCCTCTTCGAAAGCCATAAAAATATGCGAATAATATAAATAAATTTATGACTATTTATCATGAGATACGTTCATTTATATGACTTTTTTTTTGTGTAAAAAATTCTAAAAATTAAGCTCTATATCCTTTACTAAATGGTCCTTCAAAGCTTGGGTTATAACTAGAAATTAAAGCTAGAAAATAAGGAAAAAACATTTAAAATTCAATCGACAATTTAAAAAAAAACAAGGGAGAATGATTTAAAGACACGTTTTATAAATTAATAATTATTTAGATATCATCTTATCAATAAAATATTTCAATTATTTTAATAGTTCTACATTATAATATTAAAAGTAGACATAAAAAAAAAATATATAAAAAATAATATCTTAAAAGGCAAAAAAATTAATTACACTTCATTAGAATAGATTTTAAATATGTTTTGTGCATACAACTGCACTATTATCGAAGGTTCTGCGTGTAGTTAGGTGTAAAATTAAATTTTTTTTATAATTAATTTTAACCTTCAATCTTCCTGAATAATAAATATAAATCAAAGAAAGATTCTTATCGATAGGTAAGTTATATAAGAAGAGATTTTTAAATAAAAATTCGATATTAAATTTTTAAATAATAAAAGAAAATATTGATATAAAGTCAATTTATTACACTATAAATTTTTCTATAAAATAAATATGTGGGGAATTTTTTAAAATAACTTTTAAAAATTATAAACTTTTAATTCAATAATAAAAAAAAAATTGATATAATTTAAATTTAAATGAGAGTAAATTCAGAAAAATTTACATAAATTTCTTATTGAATGTTGAATTAAATTTACTAATTAATAATTTATTATTATTATAAATAAATAATAAGAATTATCATTTATATTTACAGCAGGAGATGAAAAAAAAAAAGCACGTGGTATGCTCGTGCTATCTGTAGTTGTGTTCTGTATTGTTTTGTATAGATTGAAATTAAATAAATTATTTTATTATTTAAATTTTGTAAATTCCAGAATATTTTTTTAATAAAAAAGAGTAGAAATTTAATAAGAATTTATAAATTAAAATTAATTTTTCATATTTTTTTTTAGTGTTAAAAAACACGTGGTTAAGTTAATGTGAATAATTACACTTCTCCATTATTTAATTACGCTTAATTTAAATAAATAAATAAAAAAAAGAAGAAATTAAAATAACTTTTATGCGATTATTATTAATGTAAACAGTGGAAATTTACATAATGAATTCCAGAAAACTAAAAAGAAGGAAGTGTAAGGGATGTGAGATAGTTACGCTATGAGCAATGTGTTCTATTAATATTGATACAGCGACTAATACAGATATAAATGATTAATTTTTGTATAAAATTATACGTTTTATGTTACAAAAACACGTTTTTATCTTTAAAAATATTCATTAAAAACTTGCCTGTAGCCTGTTTTAAAGTTAAATTTCTAGCTTGGAGGAAGGGAGGGAGGAAAAAGAAAAAAGAAAAAAATGATACAAATGAGGAGACAAAGAAATAATAAATAAGTTTTTTTTTTTTTAAATTTATTATTATTGATTTCCGATTGTTTTTCATTGCTTGTAGACATATTTTAAGAAACACGTTTACATGGCTACCGATTCGAAGGTCATAAGCCCTATAGTTGATAAGAGGGTGACAAAAAACGAGTAGGCCTACAGGTATCTAATCCGCTAATATATAGTTCTTATCTGATAATGTTTTTATAGTTGGCCACATGAATTATTCATTTGTTGAATTAGCAAAACGTTTCTCTCCATCCATGGCACCCCAACTCTGCATATTGATACACATTTTGTGGCAATTATGCTAAAGAATCGAGGTTCTTTCCAACGTAACGAGGAAGAATATTGATGTTACAAGAGAGAAATGAATACAAAATAAGAAAAAAAAAAAAGGGGAAAAAGAATTATATTTTTCTAAAAAAAAATAATCTCCATTTTATACACTTCGTTGATCATTTTTGTGAGAAATCCTCGTTTACTAGACCCGCATAATATATTAGTATCTAGACCACCTCAGAGCTAATAATGCTATAATTACACCTCTATAAAATATTATCCTCAAATCTGGTGTTATGACTAATTTTCATTCATCTATAGCACTTATATTAACCGACAGGTTCAACCCGAAGTCATTTATCAGTATGTACGTACATGTCAAATTATGATACTCTGTATGAATTCTGTTTGACTAGATTTAATTTATAAGCATATTCTAGTCATGTAGAGACAGGAAGATAGATTATAATGCCATTTGGACATTTGCAATATAGTTTTAGTTCTTTTGACCTAAATTCATAAGAGAATTGTTATCATTTTTTTTTAATGTTACTTTAAAAGGGATGATACAAATTTATGAGACATCTGGATATACTTTTTAAGTGTTTTTATGTAGTAAAAACTATAAAAAAAAATTTTTTTTGTAAGTAAATAATTCATTATTTAGCGCATTAAATGTTTGTAGTTTATAAATTTTAAGCGCGAAGGTGAGTTGCGAGTGATGGTGACTGGTTGGCTTGTAGATGAGGAAGATTACTGTGCGAGGTCAATGAAGAAGACTATTGACGTTATAAGAAAGAAGCGACTGTATAATAGAAAAAAATAACCACGAGAAGCGATTATTTTTAAGTGTAGAAAGTAAGGCTTTGTAAGTGTTTGTGAAAGTAAAGAAGTCTTTGTGATTACTTTCTTTCGAAGATGCTAAAGATACACTCCTGAAATATATGCGTTAGTGGAGCATTTTCTCTATTTTTTATTCAAATTGGGCCTATGTAATGAAGAAGATAGTAAATTTCTGATTTTATTTTGATATTTAATTTAAAAAAAAATTTAAATAAAACTGTCCTTTTCCGCAATTGTTTAAGTGATTAAAGAAGCAAGTTAGAAGTGTCTTTTCTAATAATTATTTAGCTCGAAGAACCTTTAAAGGAAACAGAACCTAATTTAAAGTACGTACACTAACTAAATATCAACATCCGTTTAAAGATGAATCAGTCTTTTCAACTGTAGCAGCGGTTAAATCGTAAAATCCATTAATTTTCGCATGGACAGCAACTATTAGCTACTCTTAACATGTTTGGAGATGGGTCTTGACGTGGAGCCAATCCCACTCGGTTCAAAATCCAGTCAGATTGACTAGCCAATGTTTCGGAACGGGGCCATAGAAGGTGAAAGATACGGATCTCCGATGTGATGGGAGAAAGGAGAAAATATACAAAAGTCCATGGCTGATAGCATCTCTAGCAAAGTCGAACAGTGTAACGGGGCGTCAAATGCCAGCCGTTATCGCAATCTAGTGCAGCCATCTGTTGCTTGACCCTACTTGTCCTTGGCCATTAAACCACTTAGTCCGATACTCCTGACCCATTGTCAAACAATGACTCCAACATGGGGTTTTGATAGTATAATACACTATTCCGTCGTTTTTCACGCCGTCTACCGAGATTTCGCGATAAACGCTTCGATAGGAAGTATTTCTCACAATCTCTAGTCCATAGTTCGAATAGTGCTTTGCGGGTGGCACCGTTCAATCTGCTTCCTTCATTCACTCCGGAGTCAGTCAATAAAGGAGCTTGCCCATAGTGAGAAATAGTCAGCAAGCCTTTTACAATCCGTGTATTTGTATACTCTATAGAATTACACTGTAACACATAGGCTGCGAAGCTGAAAAGAAAGCCCAACTTCCTTACAAGAGTGGATCGTATTGCCAGCTCCAGCTAAGAATAATCAAGTCATTTAGCTTTGTTCTTCGCTAAGTAGGTTAATGGAAATTATTACCACCTTACAAGGTCAATCAGATTTAACAATCCAGTTGATCCAGTCTTTTTTTCATATCATTAGCGCTTTAGGTGCTGTCAACAACGAATGATAAAGCGTTAACACTCTCTAACGTGTAGTCTAACCAGTGCATTACACGCGTTAAATAAGATGTTACTGGAAATTGCTTCTCCAAGAGTGTCACTGAAAAATTGTCTAATTAGCATACACCAAATGAAATTTTCTTTCCTACTCGCTCAGACAATACCCCTTAGGCTAATATTAACTTTTCTAATGTTTCTAGGAATTTCGACTTCGTTTTAAATGACCTACACAATATTTTTTACCACGTCCAGCACCAAGGAACTACTCAAAGAATCAGGCCATCGATAGGATTAATTGTTGAACTAAGTTTTTTTCCGCCTTATTCTAATTCACGCCTAGTCTCTAATGTCTTAAAGTTGTCATAAATATGCCCTTAATCTTTTGAAATTAAGGGCATTTGAAAAGCAATGTGCATATTATTAAAAAAGTGCACTTACGGCTTCTGGAGCAAGTCGATTAAAAGCCGATGTCGCCTGGAAAATACGTTGCTATCATTATATAATAGTACAAAAACGTAGGTTATTTATTACCTCCCCTTTACCTTAACAAGAGGGGGGTATCGTGCCAGTCGAACAACACAAACTATGTCCAACTGCGAACAGTCATGCTGCAACAAGAAGAGCATTTATGTGCTGGATTAACTCTATACACAGTACTCTCTTTGCACACAATACAGCTCTACTGTGTCGGATTGCTAGTAGGGGGCCTTCGGATGATAGATTTGACAGGAAGAAAAGAGTTGTTCCGCCTGAAAGGAGGAGCTATTGTGAATCACGATTTTTCACAGCAGGGTGTGAAGATGCCTACCTCCTACATAATCTTTTCTAAAGACGCGTTGTGTTTTTAAATGAAGTCAATGTATAAATTGGTAGGATTTACGAAGTATTGTTAGTCTCCTAATACTAGGGAATGTCAAAACTTGTTAACTTTTCATCTTTATTGCGCTACTTTTGTATTGGCTTATCATACCCGCTTGTAAATAATTCAAAATATACAGATAAATCTTTAAAGCATCCACATTACACCTTATTTACTCGTAATAAGTATAAAAAAGATAACAAATTCTGTAAATAATTATTAAAATTCGAATATGTTCTATAGACGTATCCATAAAACGTATTGCTGTAATATAAATGTTACGTTACAAATTGTAATTGTAGATTGAGTAGCGTTAGAGACGGAGCCAATTGATTATTTGTACGTTTATAAAGGGGGGAAGGCGTCGCAACACGAGTTAAGTAAAAGAAGAAAATTATCAACGAGTGTTCTATTCCGAACACATAAAGGATTGACATTGGCACGCAAGACACGTCTGACGACTAGATTGACATAAATTGTTAATAGAGAGTCGGTTGACAGGTAAGAGTGACGAACACAGCATATCGTGACAGTTTGCGTGTTGGCACCGACAAACGTGACACACATGCGCAAAATAATATATATAATAGCAACGACGCAAAAACCATCGCATCGTCGCCTTTCTCGTCTCCAACAATATATTTAACACACAGAAAAATATACAGCAAAATTTTAATTAAACCTAACTCAATCATATAATGGCCTATAGGCAAAAGATAGGGGGAGGGAAAATATATATATATAATACAGTTCGATTCGATTGTTTAGAAATTCAATTCTGTCAAGGACGTATACATCTTTATGAATATTTACCTATTGTATGCGTCAACAAGAGATATTCATCAATCATTTGACAAAAGGCTGTCCAACTATAAACAACAGATAAAGGACAACCAGGTTTTGTTTCCTCTTAAGACAAAATTGACTTCTCAATTGTTACCTTCGTGACATGTGCGTTGAAAAGTTTGAACTGAGAATTGACATGAGTAGGAAATTTTATATAATCAATACTCTGCTTAATAATAGAATAAAGTGAACAAACTTTATTTATAGTTCTCTTCTTCATGTTTTTCCTTTGCTTGTGGCTTCTTTAGGAAAAAAAAGAAACATAAAAAAAGAAAACAATAATTACTTGCTGTAATTATGTTTATTTTCTACGCGATTTTAGTATTAAAATTTTATAAATTTAAACGAAATTATGTTTTAAATATTGTTAATTTTAAAAGATTTTAAACTTATTTTTTTAAGAAAAAAATAAAAATATTTTAAAATGTTTTCTATTTTCGTCAACAGATGTCGCTAGTAACTTTTACTGTTTTTATATACTATCCTATAAGGAAATTAATTTATATTTAAATTAATAAGTAAATTTATGTGTTATATGTCTATTAATAAAAATAATTTCGATTTATGACTTTAATCCTAAAATATAATTTTATAAATAGAATTTAAAATGAAAACACCATCGAGATGAGATTCGTCTAACACGTGCGTATATAAAGTTGTTACGACACCCGCAAAGGAAATAAATATTTGCGAATTTTGATCGCATGTCCCGAAATGTTCTTCGGTCGGCTGCACAAAAGAAAGTTCAAAGGTCGTACGACCTCTTAAAATTCCACACTGGTCAATATTCGTCATGATATATTTAACAGTGATAAAAAGGCATTCTCTTCTTCATTCCAATACTCAGAATCTCACGGATATAAGGCCTCCTAATGACGTCACAAGTGACCTTAGCTTGTCGGTGAGAGCGGTCTTAGGAACGCTAGACTCTTAATTAATTTAGGCGGCTAACCTGTATAATTGAACATCAATGCGTGTACGTCTCTCTGACCTTTGACTCTTGGCATTTTACACGAAAGTGGTTCCCCCTCTAACGAAAGTCTAAAAAGATAATTTAACGGTATTAAAAATGTAAAGATACAGATGTTCTTTTGTAAAGTCCAATGATTCCATTGCGTGCCACCTAATGACTTCTAATATTTAGCCATTCCCGTTTTTTTCTTTGCGAGGAATTGTTGGATTTTCAATAGAAAAATACTAACTTGAGGAAAATCAGATGTTTTTGGTCTATGGACCTATAAGCTAATTGTACGTTACAGATATTCGTTCAATTGACTACTTTTCGATTGTGGGTTGCTATTACTTTGGGAGGTATTTTTTTGTTCCCCTGTACTGTTGTTTTGTTTTTGGGAGTGTTCCGCCGGGATAAAAACGATTCAAAGAATCAGTGGGCGAATGTGACGAGTAAGAAAATTTGAGAAGTCATTAGTGGGCTCTTGAGGGGGTGGCTCTACTCTGACACGCAATGTAGGGAAACAATGCTTTTTTTTTAGATTCTTCTTGTAGGTCTTTTCGAATTTTTTTCATTCTTTCAAACAGATCAGTGTTTTTTTCTAAGAAAAATAAACAATTATAATCGTATAGTGATTAGAGCAAAGTGTAGAATGCACTCTTCACTCGCTAAAGTTCTGTTTTATTTATCATGTAAGATGCACGATCTTCAAGTTTGATCATTGAAAGCCCTTTGAGTTTTTTCTTGTCGAGTTTTTTAATATCTTGAAAAATATATCGACCAACCCACATTAAAATTAAGAGTAAAGGATGAATGTTAAAACGTGCATTATCGGGCTTGTATCTCTAAACAAAGCAGAATATTGTTTTGTTAATCATCTCACGTAGTTGGCGCATTTCTAAACGTTTTGGTAATGCCGCACAGTTAACATGATAGACTGTAGGAAGACGTGTTGAGAGTTTATGAAGTTCTTTCAATTTATAAAGTCTTGAACTTTATACCGGGCATTTTTCAGTCGTAAAGCTTCTTTCGCTCTTAAATTTAAGCTTTCTACAACACAATTTACTTTATTACTTTTACTAAAATAGGGAGGGCAATTAAGTAAAAACACTTTAGGAATTTACATTAAAAAGAATTTTTAACACCATTATTCATAACTTTATACATTTTATTCATAAATTTATGTAAGTTGCAGGCATCAAAGTTTCCCTCAAAGGGTTGAGAAAAAAGTTTGGACAATGACATTCCAAAGACCACACATACAGGCAACTCTATCATTTCTGCGGACTTTGATTAGTTTAGACTTTTCTCATTGAAAGTCCTGCAACAAATAAACAGCCGCCCGTCTGACGCCAAAAACATTAGAAATAGCAGGATTAATGCAGGACAGCGGGGAGCCAATGTGCGGGCAATCAGCACGTCAGAAGTGTCGTTAGTAATCCCGAGACACGTAACACGTCTTTGTCCATCTGACGTCTTCAATGTTGTTGTAGTCATCCATCTCTTTCTTGCACAATCGACGAGGACAAGTTCAGCCGTGTTGAAACAATTGTTACTAGCAAGATGGCGCCTGGTCGGCACTCCGTAAGCAAACAATAATCAGATTTAATACCAACAGATAAGTGGCACTCCTCATTCATCATTTTTTCCCGTCTAGGGGATTACTTAAGTCCTACCGGGGGAGGAAACCCGTTGCTAGAGATGCCACCTGGCACCACGCCCCACCAACTTCCGCCGTTTCTTCGTTGTAATCTTGTTTTTTTTTTACTGTTTTTCTGCTTTTGTCTCGGATTCGTGATTTTAGAGAATGACCCGGGTGCATCCCTCCCGTTTCTACCTTATGATTAAGTAAAATTGTTTAAATGTTACGACGTGGCTCCATCTCTTTTGTCTTTTGCGACATACCCCACGTATCCGTTAAAAAATAAAAAATAAAAAATAAAACGGCCAATTCCTGCTATTATATAATTATTTTTTTGTAATATAATCGAAACAATAATAGTTTTTTATTCATAATTTTAATGATTCGAACACGCTACAATAGATTTTACGACAGTTAGAGAAATTTATTTAAACTAAACACGAATTGAAATGCTATTGTCGTAAGCTTTTAAGGGTCAAAATTTACTGAAAAAACGATAATAGCCGTAATGGGAAAATTTTATATATATAATAGTATTGTGAAAGGGGGTAAAAACGATTAAATATTTCATAAGGTTACAAAAGTGTTGTATTTTATTAAATTGGTTTCCGTGATAATCTTACTTATTGATGACTTTCGTGCAAATGAATTCTATCTAAAGTAAAATAGAAGCAGCTGCTACATCCAATGAATTAATAAAGAAGCAATTCGGTCACGCTTTGGGACCAATGCGAAACAAACTCAAATTTTTATTTCGTAATCAACTGTGTAGCAAATGATTTCAACTTGTAATACCGTCCTTTTAAAAACCGAAAATCATGCACTCTCTCGTGATTGATACCCAATTGCTCATGATAATAATTTCCAACGAGCATATATCTCCTTAAGCTAGAATTTAGTCTTCATAATGATAAATAATGAATATTTTATCGTATAAATGATTCATATCTACTTTATGTTTAGAAATTAAATTTTCTAACTTTAAACGCAACGAATTTTTATTTATTTATATATATATTTTTTTTCCTTGAAAAGTAAAGTTTTAACGAGTTGGAAACTCGAGAGGCTTTTTATAAATGTAAAAGGTATATATTTAAAAAAGTACCTCAATCATATTTATAATCTTTCTTAACCTGTAATCTAATCATTAGAAGTCATCAACAGTGTAGACTCGTAATTACAAGTCTGTGCCATAATTCGGTACGGGATTGCATTTTTTTAAGTTGTAAATATAGGCCTACTTTTAGATAGATTCACGATAAGAATAAGTATTATTTACATAATATTATGTAAATATATATTTAGAGTAATTTAATCCCTAATCTAACTGGAG